ACCCCCCTTACCATGCACTAGGAATGTTCTTTCTAGTCGAACTCTACTGGGTCAGGAAAAGCAAACCAGGAAATGCTGAGGTCTTCATTTATAACTTCCTTTCCTAACTTCTATTTCTGTCCATGGTACTACTATTGCATCTGTACCAGGGTTAAAATCTCAGAGCTGTTTTTCATTGACACTTTTCTACTTTGAGTTATTTTTTATATTTATCATTCCTCTCAGTGCCCACAATTACAATCCCTGCCTAAGCCCCTATCAGTTTACGTATTTGTTACGACCATTTTTTCAACCGCCCTATATAAACCTGGCTTCATCCTGTGTTAATCCTTCCTTCCTAACAGTGACAGGTTCATTTTTCTAAAAGTCCACTTTGATCATATCAGGATTTATCCAAAACTCTGCAACTCCCTTTTGGTTAACTGATTCACACTTCCATTAGAATATTCATTCCTACCCACTTGTGAGCACGGAAATAATTCCTGGCCCAAAAGTAGGACTACAAGGGGTTCCTGTCAGGGCAGGCATAGCCTCACTTTTAAGACTTTCTTGAAGCTCAGGCTTCGTGCTATCCACCCACATTCCTTGGCTTTACTCTTTTGTGCTTTATATTTCTTAGACCTTGACTTCTTGTCTAGTGTCTGACCTACAAGCCAGCCTTTGGTCAGGTATTGCATGCATCTTCATTCAGAAATCTTCAATGGTGCACTATTATTTTTATAAATGCTTGGTTCTGGCATCCCAAGCCCTCTATGACTTTACGTTATATATCCAACACGATCTCCCAGTGCTCCCCAACATGAACTCTGAGCGGACCCAGCAAGATTCATTGTCCCCTGAACACGTCAAAGACCCTTCTTGCTTCTGTGTCTTTGTTCCTACTGCTCACACAGAAAATCTTCTCTCACCCTCATTTCCAAATACTAACCAATTTTTTTAACGTCCAATTAAGGTCACACTTTCATCACAAGGCCACCTGAAATGATTCTGGCTTACATTGAATTTTCCTTCCTTTAATCTCTCACAGTGTAGTATAGTTATACTATCTATACTACACAATGAAGAGAATAATGCCACACAATATACAGGGTGCCCCCAAAAATGTATACACACTCTAACAGTTGATGGCTCAATTTTGAAAATAAAATGAATTTTAATGAACACCACTTTTATAATTATTCACAGTGTGTGTATACATTTTGGGGGACAATCTATATAACTGGAAGAAAGAATATTGTTCCTCATCTCAACCTCAAATAGTTATGACCTCCTTTAGGGCAAGAATTGAGTCTCTTAATTATTTTTTCTACTCTTGCTCACATAGATGACAGTACCAGA